TCTAAAGTAGAAAGGATAATAATAATATAGTAATTATCTAGCAACTAGCAAAGCAGTCTTTTAACTAAACTTAATCAGTTAGTATTGTTTGGCTTGCCTCTGCAGGCACTCTTCGAGATTTCGTAGTCTCTTAGTTCACTCAATACTGGAATGGATTTCCCTTTGTGAGAGCTACAGGGCGCCAGGCTCACCTGTAGGTCTTTGCTGGTACAGTCCTACCTCTCAGGTTGTACCTCGAAGCACCTGGTGGAGGCCGGTTTGGTAACAGTCTGGTTTGAGAGTTTGCCGCCTCGGTCCGTTGAACCTCGTCCTCAGGTGATTCCTCCGGGGAGGGGTCCTGGGTGACGGGGTCAATCAGCTCTGTTGGATCTGCAGTTCGGCGTACATGACTTGCATGGATCCACGAGGGGCCCTCCTTCACCTTTACTGCTGTGTGGGTGATGAGCAGCAATTGGAACGGTCCTTTCCACCGGGCTGTCAGGGAATTCTTGATAAAGCATACTTGGTTACTAAGGGTTACAGAGCAACTATGAAAAGAGCAGATTAAAACACAGAGAAAAAAAGATATCTCTGGGCACAATTTAAATAGTAAATGGGGAAGGGGGAAGCACATGGATTTTACACACAAAATAAAGAAAAACAGCAAAACAAAGAAAAATAACCTGATTGCGACTATACATTTTCCCTCTACTCATGATCCATGCTGATCTGTACTTCAAGGCCTAGTTCACTCCCATGTCCAATATTTTTAATAGGCCTGATAATTCTGATTACTGAATTATCCCTCCAGCTTTTAACTTAGAATTTTCACACAAAGAGAGCAGATAAGGTATATATATGCAATTCAGATTTCAGCACTGTATCCCATTGGCTCTTCTGGCTCCCTGCCAGTACCTTTGCTAACTACTTAAGTTTAACCCTTTAGTCACCAGATGCTGGCCAGCACTAAATAGTGAGGTGGCAAAATTTGCAGATGATGCTAAACTGCTCAAGTTAGCATCAAGCAGACTATGAAGAACTTCAAAAGAATTTCACAAAACTAGGTGACTGGGCAACAAAATGGCAGATGATTTTGAATACTGATAAATGCGAAGTAATGCATGTTGGAAAGCATAATCCTAAATATATGTACAAAGCGATGGGGACTAAATTAGTTGTTACCACTCAAGGATATATCTATGCTGCATGGCTATTTTAGGATACCAGAGGTATGTCTATGCTGCATGGATATTTTGGGATACCAAAATAGCTACCCCACATTTATTCAAGCCATCCGTTATTTCGAAATATTTTTCAAAATAACGGGTGCGCTATTTTGTCATCCCAGTATACCTTCATGCACAACATGCCAAATTTCAAAATAAGCTATTTCGAAATTGCACATCTTATTTCAAGTTTAGGGTGTTATGTAGATGCATCCCAAGAGAGAGATCTTGGAGTCCTTGTGGATAGTTCTCTGAAAACATCCACTCAATGCGAAGCAGCAATCAAAAAAGCAAACAGAATGTTAGGAATCATTTAAAAAGGGATGGAGAATAAAGCAGATAATATCTTAGTGCCTGTAGCTACGAACGGGCCACTCTAGTTTGTTTAATGGTTCCACAGCATTGGAGCCAGCCAAGGGGAGCCACAGGAAACAGCATGACCCAGGCTGCTGCTTCCTTTGGCTCCCCTCAGTTGGAAATGGCAAACCAGAGCCAAAGGGAGTTGCTAGGTTCCATGGCTGTGGAATTGTTAGATAAACAAACTGGAGTGGCCCAAAACACTGCTCTATGTAAATCCATAGTATGCCCATATCTTGAATACTGTGTGTAGATGTGGTCACCTCATCTAAAAAAAAATATATCTTAGCATTGGAAAAAGTTCAGAAAAGGGCAACAAAAGTGATTAAGGGTATGGAACAGCTGCCATATCAGTAAGACTGGGACTTTTCAGCTTAGAGAAGAGGAGACTAAGGGGGGATATGATAGAGGTTTATAAAATCATGTCTGGTGTGGAGAAAGTAAAT